ATGTGGAAAATAATGTGTTTTTTTAACCTTAAACCGCATAAACACATTTCATTACACCAAATACACAAAATAATGTTATTTTTAGCAACATCATATGACCCCTTTAAATATATCTTTGGCCCCTAAACCTGTGGAATTATTTAAATGTTTCCACACAAACAATAGTTGTTGTTCTACACTGTTGTTCATTTGATATGTGTTTTCAAGTTCATGTCTGATATACTGGTGATTTTAATTTGATCAGTAATGGGCAAATAAATATCAGTTTACGATACATTGGTTCATCTCCACCAGTAAATCTTAATGGAAAGATAAATGATAAATCTTCATCTTTAAAACAAATACTGCATCTAACGGGGCCTACTTTTCACCTTAAAAAATCCAAAGAACTATTAATAAAACAACTCATGAATTATACAGCCTTATAAAACCATTATTTAAATTATAATACCCTACACATTTGTTATAATATATATGTTATAATAGTTGGTTTTAGTTCTATGTTTTTATTCTTTTTTCCCCCATAAGATAATGAATAACTAAACAGCAGTGATGCACTTAGTTGAAGGCAATACAGTACAATACAGTACAGTATAATTAAATTAGTAGTATGCAATGAAATATCCAGAAAAATATTTAACATCACATAGCAAAAAAAAAAAAAAAAAGACAAAGACAAAGAGCTTTTGACAAAAAACAAAAAAACAAAAAGTATCACTTGTTCTTGATACCTGGAGGACTATGTAATTGAATAGAATTGAACAGACAGTCAGAAAAAGATATAATTAGATCGAATACATATTCACCTACTATGGAAGTTACATTAGCCCAATCAAAATGTCTTAGATTTTTCACATCGTTAGGGCTGTAACTAAGAGCAGTAGCTCTAGTGACCTTTCCACAAATGATGTGCTTCATTAGGAGGTCTACCTTGTCAAAGACCAACTTCTAATGTTCCATTCCATATATTGTATGTAAGAACTCTAATGAGTGAGTCTTGTTGAAATTGACTAACTGGCACATGTGACTGATCTCTGTGTAACGAGAAATTAGAGAGTAGTGGCTGGTTAATCAAATTGTGTCCAGTTTTTCAGGTGCGATCCTAACTGCAACACTGATCGTAGCATAGACATAGAATCTTCTTCAGAAACTGGTAAACAACTCCTGCACCTTAACATACAGATGTCAGAGTACAATATAACTACTGTATGATTTATTCTTGAAGAATATATTCTCGCATAATGAGACTTGCAACCCCAGTCAATGGTGGGAATCCACAGATAAAGCAATACTGAGAATGCTGAGGTCGAAGAAAAAAAAGGCAATACTGGTCAGCGGGAGATGCTGTTGCCCAGGCCTTGCACAATGCTTTCTCGAATGCAATGCTGAGCCATTGAAGCAATTATTTTCTCAAGCCAGATTGTGTATGGATGGGGTCAGACCACTTCAGCACACTTGATAAACAAAACTCTCCCCCTATTAAACTATTCATGGACCTTACATACCTCTGTAAGGGTATGTAGCCCTTGAGAAAGGTGTCTGGGTAAATGTACAAGACAGAGATTTATGACTTCACACCACTGGCCAATGGGCAGAGCTGAAAACTGCGCACCTGCTCAACCCAACTCTAAATGTAAGGGGGCATCGAGCAGTTAAAGCAGCTCAGATCGGTTGGGTGACACAGTACTCTGAACTATGCCAGCTGAGTCACTAAAATTCAGACCGATTTAGAAACTATGTCTGACATATATATTTGTATATGTGTGTGTGTGTGTTTATATATATATAAATATATATATTTTATATATATGTATTTTTTACATATGGTAAAAAATGTAGAGCCTGAATGCACTGTAAGTCGCTTTGGATAAAAGCGTCTGCTAAATGCATAAATTATTATTATTCATTATTATTATATACACACACACACACATACATACTGTATATTTTATTTGACGTATAATTTTAAGAATACAATATCAATAGCAATAATAACTATATATATGCACATATATATGATTATTAAAGATTCTAAATATTATTGCATTACATTAAACATGCTAAAAATCAGTTGATAATAATACCTTGATTTCAATTATCATGGTATTTCGAAACGTGACAACAGATAGCACCTATTATAAACGCGACTGTTAAATATTCAATATTTGGAAGGTAACCAGCTTCTAGGCTTACCATATTAAATCGTGCGCAGCTGCACATTAAAGATACAATAAGAAAAAATAATCTGGCACTTTATAAAGGATACAATAGGAAATCTTAATGTCAAATTCTAACAAAGTATTCCCCCCAAAATCTTTCAGTCTCCTCCATATACAGACGGACCACCGTAACACATTCACTGATAGTTATGATCACAGCACTGGACGATTCCTATTCTATTAACTCCATTCATTCCCTGTCATAATTAACATTCGCGGTAATCATCGTTGCGGCTGACAAGATGTCATTTTATGCTTAAATGTATCTCACCGCCTCGACGCTTCCATGGCCAGTGGTTACCAGTGTTTGTAGCGGAGGTGGCTGCGAAACATTCATCTGTAAGAATTTGCTATATGGCTGGCTATGGTATTCAGAAGTGATGTTTTGTCTGTCATGCAAATTAATTTAAAAAGATAAATGGTAAGATAAGACACAAATCTTACTACTCAAACTAAAGACCGCCCTTTACTGTAAGACACTGCATGCAGATCAATACATTTGAGAGCAAGGAGAACCTCTGAGGAAACTGGAGGGCTCTATAGCATCTCTCCCGGGGTATTATTGATTTTTTAAGAGTGGTAAGTGGGGTTCATCCATATATGTTGAAAACTTGTCATCAGAATGCGTGAAATTCAATTATTGTTGCATTCTAATAATGTATTCCTTATTTAAGAAAATGTCATATATATATACAGTATAAAATAACGCATTCGGCACTGATTTAACTATCACACTGCTGCAAATAAAATCGCAGAGAGCCAATAATTCATCTTCCAGCTGTAGATAAGTAAAGTAGGGCTGTGGATGTACGCTGAGGACGAGATTTTGAGGGGGAGCAGGTTGTGCAGCTCAGTCCAGATGTAAACCTGAAAAGAGGTGTGAACCTACAGCCTTTGAGGGAGTGACATGAACGCGATCCTATTTTTGCACTGCTCGGGTTAACCTCTCTGTCGCCAGTGGATTTTGTATTTGAAGACGTGGTAAAGATGAAGGTGATGAATGGAGCTTAATGTTATGAGATGCCTTTGATTCATAGACATCAGGGCTCTACGCTTACTTTTCTTGTTAGGAGCGCTTGTGCTCCTAATTTAAAAAATTTAGGAGCACGGTCAAAAATTTAGGAACACCTTCTAATCAGTAATTAAAATTTCTGATAAAAAAATGTACCTTCCCATTACGAGGTGATATTTGACTCCTTAAAGTGATTTACAGGGAATTTTGTTTTTACCTTTGTAATGGCATCCATTTTTCTAACTTTATTAAAAGTATGTCATATTTTATGTCAAATTAAAAATATATATATTTATAAGCTTTTTAACATTTCTAATTAAAACAACAGAATAAAAACAAGTAGAATAAGAATAAGTTACCAATAAAATGAAATCAGTATTTGTGCTACAGAGTTGGCACAGAAGAACTTGTAGGTGTATTTTCAGACGTTTAATGAGGCTCAGAGGTGGCATGAGTGCAATTAAATTCATAAATTCATGTTGAGGTTAATGTTTTAAATATACAATTTTGAATATAGAAATATTAAATGATTTAAATAACAGAAAAGACATTTTAAAAATTAAACTAAAACTGCCAGCAGGTGGCGGCAAATCACTGATTTTATCACTGAATCATTCATTCAATTGATTCGTTCGAACGGCTGATTCATTCAGGAACCAAGTACGTGACTGTCTTTATGAATGGGTAATTGAATCATTGACTCACTAGATTCATTTAAAAACGCAGTTCATTCATAAACGAATCACCGCTGTGTTTGAATGGAGATGCGCAGCGGCTCAGCTGTTACTTTGTTTGAAACTATTTTCGTTGACGAAATAGAGCAAAATAAGGCAATTGTGTTGTTGTCAGACAATATAAGTCACTTAATATTAACTTCTTGTTTAATGAACTGTTGTATTAAATCAATATCACATTTGCAAACTCCCTTAATAATCATTAAAAGCTGTCACTCATCTTAGCTCATCGCGATCTCACAAAACTCCATTATAATCGAAGAAGCTCTTGCTTACACTGCACAATGAATATCTTATTTACACCCTGTCAACACTTTGTTATAACGAGAGGATACGTCTGTGATACATTACTCAACCGCTGCAGAAACACGTAAGTACGTTAGAACCTTTGAAGCTCCCCCAGAGCAAACAGGCATATGCTGATCGGGTCAGTCGCACAGGTGCTCCTAAATATTATTTCATAGTCGCACGCAGTAGTTTTCAAATGGTCGCACTGTAGAGCCCTGAGACATGCATAAAAATGCCGTCCAAAATGTTGGCGCAATGTTTGGATCCCTCTAGAACTATGTAACAAATTCCAAGGGAGAAAACAATACTAAACAGCTAGACCTTTTCGTATAAAACGTTAAAATGGGATGGAAAGGAAACTGGTGGCTAATCCCCACTTGAATAGAGCAAATTTGATTATATTAGTGTTTGTGTGGGGCATGTGAACACTAATGTAAAGCAGATTGCACTTCATTATAGCCTAACTTTACACAGATGAGGAGAGAAAACAACAGCAAACAATTCAAAATGATAAAGGGAATGATGATGAAATGAATGCCTCTCTGAGTTTGCCACACATATCTTTTGCTTAGAAAATCAGTCATTACTTGAACACACACAGCAGGTCAAAGCATCTGTGGGTATTAAAATCATGACAGGGCACAATGTTCAAATTTAGGCAAGATATAAAATATAAAGTTATTATTATTATTATTTAAAAAGACGGACACATTTTCTGCTCTAAAATTTAGGAGCACGGTCAAAAATTTAGGAACACCTTCTAATCAGTAATTAAAATTTCTGATAAAAAAATGTACCTTCCCATTACGAGGTGATATTTGACTCCTTAAAGTGATTTATAATAATCATTAAAAGCTGTCACTCATCTTAGCTCATCGCGATCTCACAAAACTCCATTATAATCGAAGAAGCTCTTGCTTACACTGCACAATGAATATCTTATTTACACCCTGTCAACACTTTGTTATAACGAGAGGATACGTCTGTGATACATTACTCAACCGCTGCAGAAACACGTAAGTACGTTAGAACCTTTGAAGCTCCCCCAGACCAAACAGGAAACTCCCTTAATAATCATTAAAAGCTGTCACTCATCTTAGCTCATCGCGATCTCACAAAACTCCATTATAATCGAAGAAGCTCTTGCTTACACTGCACAATGAATATCTTATTTACACCCTGTCAACACTTTGTTATAACGAGAGGATACGTCTGTGATACATTACTCAACCGCTGCAGAAACACGTAAGTACGTTAGAACCTTTGAAGCTCCCCCAGAGCAAACAGGCATATGCTGATCGGGTCAGTCGCACAGGTGCTCCTAAATATTATTTCATAGTCGCACGCAGTAGTTTTCAAATGGTCGCACTGTAGAGCCCTGAGACATGCATAAAAATGCCGTCCAAAATGTTGGCGCAATGTTTGGATCCCTCTAGAACTATGTAACAAATTCCAAGGGAGAAAACAATACTAAACAGCTAGACCTTTTCGTATAAAACGTTAAAATGGGATGGAAAGGAAACTGGTGGCTAATCCCCACTTGAATAGAGCAAATTTGATTATATTAGTGTTTGTGTGGGGCATGTGAACACTAATGTAAAGCAGATTGCACTTCATTATAGCCTAACTTTACACAGATGAGGAGAGAAAACAACAGCAAACAATTCAAAATGATAAAGGGAATGATGATGAAATGAATGCCTCTCTGAGTTTGCCACACATATCTTTTGCTTAGAAAATCAGTCATTACTTGAACACACACAGCAGGTCAAAGCATCTGTGGGTATTAAAATCATGACAGGGCACAATGTTCAAATTTAGGCAAGATATAAAATATAAAGTTATTATTATTATTATTTAAAAAGACGGACACATTTTCTGCTCTCCCACGTCTCTTGCTTGTGTCAGATAGATAGATAGATAGATAGATTAATAAATGTACAGAAAGGAGAAAGTACTCTTTGGAATGTAATCGACTCTTTTAGTTGCCATTTGTTCTGTTCATACTTATCTCATTGAAGGCCAGTATAGGGGTCATTTCATTTCATTTCATTTTTTTTTTTTTTATATATATTTAGCTAGGACCAAATGGTTTTGACATTACTGCGTTCTCCATTGCACCCCCTTTACCTCATTCCATGTACTAAATTACACTAAATTGGAATTTTTGTTTTTGCATACTTTGCATGTAACACTTTAAGCCGTTTAAGCAAATGCAACAGATTTGATATTTAATGTTAGACTGGCTTCCATAATCATACCAGATTAATTGCTCACAGTCCTTGAAGGCTTCAGTCCTGAATAAAAAATTAAGTGGTATCAAACTCTTAAGACTACTGAATGCTACTCACAGAAAGTAATTTGATTCCTTCGCTGCTTGGTGTTATTGGTTTCGTAAGTATGAATACCGGCCCATAATGCACTGCATTCCGTCAGCTACTCACAACATAATGTGGGCTTATTATCCTAATGTGAGTATTCATGAATAGATTTATGAGTAACCATTTATGATAGATACACTTGGCAATGGCTCATATAGCTCATATAGCCTAGTGGGGCCTTAGTTTATTATGAGGAACACAATCCCATCAAAATCAATTGATTTAACCTGTAATTATATCCTCAAAATAAAATCTGCTACAGACATGAACGTGCAATTATTTATATATTTTTCTCTTATATATTTTCACAATAGAAAAAAAAATGTGTAACTATGGTCAGAATGCACTGTCCCTCACAGGTTGGCAGCCCCTCAGTTGACAGCTTTTTTATAACAAATAAAAAATAAAAAAAAACATTGACTATAAGTTATTGACTAGATGCTATAAATGCATTACACACATGTGCATACATTGGATAATTTTGTAAAATTTATTAATGGCAAAGTTCAATTCAGTTGTACTGAAATAACGAGAAAAGAAACAGCATGGATCGATTTAACGTTAAAATGCAATATTATATTAATTAATGCAGTCTTGAGAGTCACATGACTCACCCATGTGTGGGAATCAACCAATTACAGCGTTTGTTTGGGTTTTCGTGATATTCGTTACTCGGTTGCACACAGCTCTACCTTCCATGGTTCCTGAAAAGACCATAACAGTCTTAAGAGAGTTCTTGTTAGGAGAACTAATTATTACCACCAGCTGTCAGCTTATGAATTGACGGTTGAGTTTTTTTTTTGCCTTCGCCATTAAAATGAGTCTGGCACCGCACAGCGCATCGTTTCGCGCATCACAGCAGAGCTGTTCTGTGGCTGCGCTCGATGAATCGTATGTATCCATCTTCATGTCGCTGTTAAAG